ATTTGGCGTCTCCTCTTGGCCGGCGGTGCTCTGTTCCGGTATTCATTGCCAAAGGTCAGTGACCTTCCGGCTCTGATTTCACTTAGTTTTGCAGCGAAGAAACTGAGCCTAAGGCGCGTGCCGTCTGCTCGGCGCCGGCCGCGGCCCAAAATGCCGCAAAGATGCGCCCGCCACGTGCAAACCGGCGAGCGCATCCCCACCAAAATTTAATACGACAAACAGATACACGCGTCCGACTTATGTCCAAAATTTCACCCCCGTAGCCCGCACCGTTCCAGAGCAATAGCCCGCCAAGCGTGACTGACGCGTCACATACATACATACATACATACGGACGTTTTGATTTTTATATATGTAAACTAGAGGGACAGCATTACGCGCAGCGTAAAGAGGGACAGCATTACGCGCAGCGTAATAAATCAATTTTCATTCAAATCGGCCCAGTAGCGACCGAGTTATGGCCAGAATAAATTTGGCGTCTCCTCCTGGCCGGCGGTGCCCTGTTCCGGTATTCATTGCCAAAGGTCAGTGACCTTCCGGCTCTGATTTCACCCAGTTTTGGAAGCGAAGAAACTGAGGATAATGCGCGTGCTCTCTGATCGGCGCCGGCCGCGGCCCAAAATCCCGCAAAGATGCGCCCGCCACGTGCAAGCCACCGAACCCACCCCCACCAAAATTTAATACAACAAACAGATGCACGCGTCCGACTTACGTCGAAAATTTCACCCCCGTAGCCCGCACCGTTCCAGAGCAATAGCCCGCCAAGCGTGACTGACGCGTCACATACATACGTACATACATACATACATACATACGGACGTTTTGATTTTTATATATGGGATGACGACTTGGGCTTATGCCTCCTATAAAGTCCAGAATCAATAGGCGCTATTTGAGGTAGAAAAAATCAAACTCGACTTTCCTTTGACTGAGGCAAAAAAAAAAAATGATGAGTGCACACTGCACAGTTCATCAGCCATGCCTGGTCAACCAACGAGACACACTTCCACGGCTCTATGAAGACGACCTTCACGAAGACGCCGGCGGCCAGATGACACACGGTGTTGGTGGATGAGCCACACCGGCGGTGTAAGAGCACCGGGTCCACTGGCCGAGGGTCAGTGCTTGGTGTGCGCGAGGCATCACCGCCACTGTCGCTGAGTTGGCGAATATTGGAATATCCACCGGTTTCGGCTAATCCGGTGGACATGAAACGCCTCACAAGTCACACATGGGTGCTGAAAGGATTGGCGTGTTGCTTGGTGAGGCAGTAGTGTAATAGGGCACGCCCCCGGTGCGGTAGACTCCCGACTGGGTGGTGGGACGCTCCTGCTCCGGCTCCTTTGATCCCACTGAAATGGGCCGCCGCGGCTCGGCTGGGCTGGTGCAGGGGGCTGTCAGGGGGGGCTGTCAGGGGGGCTGTCAGGGGGGCTGTCAGGGCCGGCTGCAAGAGCAGGGCGAGATGGCCGCTGCGCCGCGGGATGCAATTCACAACAAACGGATCACCTCAGGTGGGTACGCCCGTTTCTTCACATAAACATACAAAATATGTGCATTGTGCACCAAGAATCCTACAAGATCGCGAAAGCTTCAATATCAATAGGCTTTACAAATCAATTATCCGTTACCGGTTCGTTTTACCTCTTGATCAACCACCATAGTGTATATTATCTCCGCACTCTGTGCGTGCCGTTTTATGTTATGTGAAACTGCGCTTTCCCTCCCGCCCCTACCACCATCAGAGGCGGCGCCGAATTCGTATCACTCAGGCTCGTGCCACACGTCCCCCTCCATCACCCCCTTCATCACACGCTCGTGCCGCCGACCGTCCAGCCCAGCGCTCCGAGCTCACTCGAACCCTTTGAACGGCCGCCCGGCCGACATCTGCCCCGTCCCGCGCGCGGGCGGGGTTAAAGTTCAGCAAACGCGTGCCATGGCGCCTGTCGGGCTGGTGTTGCTATGTAGCCCTTGGTGCAGCCCTCTCGCAGTCTAACCAGTGACCGCTATATCATTTCCTGCGTGATGGAAATATTTCATCTTTATTTAACCCACAATTACATGCGTAAAGTCGTATTTGTCACTGGAGAGTGCCAATGCTTTTGGCGGCCTGAAAGGAGAAAGAGGAGAAAATGAAACAGTAACGGAAAGGCATTATATATGCTGGACAAGGTCACAGAGCCACAACAGGCGTATTTAACGATCAATGAATTTCAAATGGTTCCGAATAGCCGCCGAAATTAAATGAATAGTGCCGAATTGGGTTGCCACTGTTGTAAATATCGTGCGATGGTCTCCAATCCCCAATGGCGTCGTCGAAATGCTTTGCGGACTGCGGACACATCGAAAATGGGGACCTTTCGCTGGACTGCCGAAAGTGAATGATAGAATGCCGATCACCGGTATAAGCGGTCGACATGCAATGCTTTACTGATACATAGTTTTGCTGGATGTCTACAAAGAATCCGCTAGTTCTAAAGTTCAAGGTACCTACAGTTCGAGCTACCGGAATTAAACTGACAAAAGGTGTATGTGCTGTTCATCAAGTTATACGCCAATGTTTAAAAAGAAACTGTTTAGGATTGCTAATTTATATGTTGTATGTATGTATGTTGGGATATTGTGACCGCGCACCGGCCGTGTGGGGCCGTGGAACAGGATGGGTCGGCGGCCCGGCCGTCCGGCCGGCGAGCCGCCTGACCGCCGCGCGGTCACCGCGCATGCGCTCTGTGCCGTGGTTATACATATAAGGGCGCGACCGTGACCGGACTGGGTCAGTCGGCGGGTCGCCGTGTCCGTGCTTGGTCTTCGGTCGCTGGAAGCACAATACACAGTGTCGTGGTATATGCAGCTTTACTTGGCCCTAACATGTATGTATGTATGTATGTATGTATGTATGTATGTATGTATTGACACCAAAAGCCTTCCACATATGGCGTGGCGATTACGGCTTAGATCCGAGTATAATGGGTAACCTGACCCTGTCTTAACCCTCGCATGTGTGCGGCGTTTGCCAGCTTCTAATGTGTAGGGGGGGGGGGTCGGTTGGACCCCCCCCCCTTGCCGTTTGGCCCCTGATCGAGCTAGAGCTTCGCGGAAAAAACGAGCGTGTTGCCCGTGACGAGAGGAAGCCGATGATACCCAATTTTAAGGCCTAGGTCATTGGGTGACCTTCCAGGTCAGGTCAATGACCCAAAGGCGGGAAAATCGGGACCTGTTAGAAAGTCGTAAAGTGGGGCTGCTAAGGGGTTTTTCGGGGTGCTGATCACGAATATCGTGTTATTTTTGATCACAGATGATGTCTTTAAGCATTTAGACCAGGTCGGGTCAGGTCAGGTCAGGTCAACCAGTAGGCATCGTGACGGGTATTCGTAGTACGTGTCAACCGCCTCTGACAGCTTCGTAACATGTTACGAAGGCACCAAAACTACTTCGTAAATGTTCAAATGGTTGCTAAATTCGAATTCAGCTCCAAAAACTAGCCTAGAAACATGTAAAACTCGAAAAAGTGAACCGAGTTCACCCGAGGTCACCAAAGGTCAATGACCTGACCTGACCTTCAGGTGACCTTGACACCCACCTTAATGCATGGAAGCAACATCAATTCATATGTTTGAACGTTTGAAACCACGAAAAGCTTGCAAACGCGCGGCTAATGCGAGCCATCATACGCAGAATCGCGATTCCGGCCAAACATGGTCTCGGAAAAGAGGTCACAGGTCAAAGGTCATTTGGGTCAGGATCATAAAATTTTCAGGGTAGGTGTAAAATTGATCAATGTGAGGGTTCTGAAAGTTTCGTCGCGATCGGCCGCTTTTTACGCGAGTTATTCGCGAAAAACCATGGGGGGGTTCCATCCGACCCCCCCCCTACATATGCGAGGGTTAAATGATATTTATATTTAGCACAATGATAAGTTAATACTTGCAGAGCAGACAGAGTTTCAGCCTGGTCGAGCGTGAGCCGTCTGCTCTGTCCTTCACCGGGCAGTGTTCTCACGGGCGCGGTGCAGTGTTCTCCCGTTGCAGTGTTCTCACGGTGCAGTGTTCTCACCGGGCAGTGTTCTCACCGGGCAGTGTTCTCACCGGACAGTGTTCTCATGGTGCAGTGTTCTCACCGGGCAGTGTTCTCACCGGGCAGTGTTCTCACCGGGCAGTGTTCTCACCTGGCAGTGTTCTCCCGGTGCACTGTGCTTTCCGGTGCAGTGTTCTCACCGGGCAGTGTTCTCACCGGACAGTGTTCTTACCGGGCAGATTTCTCACCGGGCAGTGTTCTCACGGGCAGTGTTCTCACCTGTGTAGTGTTATTACCGGTGCGATGCTCTCACCCGTGTAGTGTGCAGTGGATTAGCCTCAGCCTCTGCCCTTATTTTTTACTCTGACACATACTGAGAAGATCCGGTTCTCGAAACTGCAGTCACTTTTCAAACTGATCCGCCAGCGAGATATACGGTACTCTTCTCCGCAAACCTGATAAAGCCATTGTAAGATTGTAAAAGATAAAGTTGTTAGCTCAGGCACTGTGTTAAGTTGGAATTCCATCTTCCTTATCAAGCAAAAAGATGTCACATTTAGATGCGTCTTGAATTTTTGTGAAGATAAAGAATTGACACGAACCAGTTGACCAATAATACATTTTTTTTTTCAAACCACGTGTGATTTCAGATGTTGGTAGCTACGAAGCTCATATTTTGACACATGGTGTCAAATTGACGCAGCCGAAGGTACTGTAAGCTTGGCGTTGATTGATACGTCAAGCGGTTTGGAAGCTATTGCAGAAAAACGGGAGGGGGGGCTATGAATAGCCCCCCCCCCCCCCAGTGGGGCGCGGGATAAGAGCAATTCCTGAGCTGACCTGACCCGCCCGCTCCCCCTCCCGCAGGTGGGAGACATGATCTCTGTGATTGGCCTGACCTGACCTGACCCGCCCCCTCCCGCAGGTGGGAGACATGATCTCTGTGATTGGCCTGAGCTGACCTGACCCGCCCCCTTCCCCTCCCGCAGGTGGGAGACATGATCTCTGTGATCGACATGGCTCCGCCGGACGAGTCAGTCTGGTGGCGCGGTAAGCGCGGCTTCGAGGTGGGCTTCTTCCCCGGCGATTGCGTGCGTCTGATCGGGGAGGCGGCCGAGGGCGGCGCGGTGGTGGCGGGTCGCCAGCGGCGCGCCGCCACCCTGCAGCCCGACCAGCGACCGCTGCTCGGCCGGCCCGGCAAACTCGGCGCCTTCTTCAGGTGAGCCGGCGTCCCAGACACACCCACACCCGGCCCGGCGTCCCAGACACACCCACACCCGGCCCAACGTCTCAGAAACAGCCACACGGCGTCCCAGACACCACCCACACCCACACGGCGTCCCAGACACACCCACACCCGGCCCGGCGTCCCAGACACAGCCACACGGCGTCCCAGACACAGCCACACCTACACGGCGTCCCAGACACACCCCCACCCGGCCCGGCGTCCCAGACACAGCCACACGGCGTCCCAGACACACCCACACCCGGCCCGGCGTCCCACCCACACCCACACGGCGTCCCAGACACAGCCACACCCGGCCCGGCGTCCCAGACACAGCCACACGGCGTCCCAGACACACCCACACCCGGCCCGGCGTCCCAGACACAGCCACACCCGGCCCGGCGTCCCAGACACAGCCACACCCGGCCCGGCGTCCCAGACACACCCCCACCCGGCCCGGCGTCCCAGACACACCCACACCCCGGCGTCCCAGACACAGCGGCCCGGCGTCCCAGACACAGCCACACCCGGCCCGGCGTCCCAGACACAGCCACACGGCGTCCCAGACACAGCCACACCCGGCCCGGCGTCCCAGACACACCCACACCCGGCCCGGCGTCCCAGACACCACCCACACGGCGTCCCAGACACAGCCACACCCACACGGCGTCCCAGACACAGCCACACCCACACGGCGTCCCAGACACCACCCACACCCGGCCCGGCGTCCCAGACACAGCCACACCCACACGGCGTCCCAGACACACCCACACGGCGTCCCAGACATACCCACACGGCGTCCCAGACACACCCACACCCACACGGCGTCCCAGACACACCCACACGGCGTCCCAGACACAGCCACACGGCGTCCCAGACACAGCCACACCCACACGGCGTCCCAGACACAGTCACACCCACACGGCGTCCCAGACACACCCACACCCGGCCCAGCGTCCCAGACACACCCCCACCCGGCCCGGCGTCCCAGACACACCCACACCCCGGCGTCCCAGACACAGCGGCCCGGCGTCCCAGACACAGCCACACCCACACGGCGTCCCAGACACACCCACACAGCGTCCCAGATACACCCACACGGCGTCCCAGACACAGCCACACCCACACGGCGTCCCAAACACACCCACACCCGGCCCGGCGTCCCAGACACAGCCACACGGCGTCCCAGACACAGCCACACCCACACGGCGTCCCAGACACACCCACACGGCGTCCCAGACACACCCCCACCCGGCCTGGCGTCCCAGACACACCCACACGGCGTCCCAGACACACCCCCACCCGGCCCGGCGTCCCAGACACACCCACACGGCGTCCCAGACACAGCCACACCCGGCCCGGCGTACCAGGCACATCCACACGGCGTCCCAGACACACCCACACCCACACGGCGTCCCAGACACACCCACACCCACACCCACACGGCGTCCCAGACACACCCCCACCCGGCCCGGCGTCCCAGACACAGCCACACGGCGTCCCAGACACAGCCACACACACACGGCGTCCCAGACACACCCACACCCACACGGCGTTCCAGACACACCCACACGGCGTCCCAGACACACCCACACCCACACGGCGTCCCAGACACACCCACACCCGGCGTCCCAGACATACCCACACGGCGTCCCAGACACCACCCACACCCGGCCCGGCGTCCCAGACACACCCACACCCACACGGCGTCCCAGACACACCCACACCCACACCCACACGGCGTCCCAGACACAGTCGGTAGGGCACGGCGCGCCGCGGTGCTATGAGGGGTGTCGTGCTGTGCCGTCTCTGGGAGCCGCCCTGGGCCGACCAGCTGTATATCCTGCGAAATGCCGCACAGCAGAGCTGCTTGGCGTTAGACACTAAACGGCGCCCTCGAGACAAACGCCCCGAAAATACACAGAGATGGCGCGCCAGGATGGTGTTGTCTGATTATCAAAACCGTCTGTGACGAACTAGCCCAATCTATCAGGGTGATGGTTATATAGAAGAGCGCCGGGGGCGCGCTCATGCTCTGAATCATCCTATCTGTTGGTGGCACCCGCTTATGATTCGTGTGGCTGTACTGGTCTGTGGCTGCCGCTCTGTTTCACGTCCAATGTGAATCCTGCAGCTCCTCTGAACACTCTAACACTGTGTCCGGACTAGGTGTGGTGACTGATTGCCCGCTAGTACTCAGATGCGACTCCGTCTGGTGTCAGTCGGGCAGTGCGCCGCAGTCAGTCGTTGAAATAGGCTGGCCTGGCGCAGCTCCCAGCCAATTGGTGTCTGCGTCCGTGTGCAGCCGGGCGCCCGCCGGCGACCAGGCTGACCTCGATTGGCTGGAGACGCGGAACGTGTCTGCCCGCCTGTTGACTGCAATAGGTGTGCCCATGGTGCTGTATTTCACAATGCTCAATCTACAAATGCACGTCTCCGCTGCCAGCGGAATAAAACAGCACCGCAGACATCCGGCGATTTCCATGTCACCACGGCACCATCGACCGCGGCTCACTGCCGAGCGCCGCCGCCATCCGTCTCTGATGCTGCGCCGTGCGGCCGCCCTGGAACACGCGCGTTGTCTGTCTTACCCGCCCCGTGTCAAATCGCGCCCCTTCCGAGCGATCTAAGCGCTCCGCACCGACCGACGCGAGTCCTGTGAACGAGAAGCCAGTCGGGCCGGGGGTCGGCGGCCCCGACCAGCGTGGCACCCGACCAGCGTGGCACACTGCCGGGCGCTGTTGACCGCGCGGCGGGCTGCCGATGGATTTACCCGCACCGCGGCGGGCTGCCGATGGATTCACCGGCGCGGCGGTCGGGCGTGTTTGCTTGGCCTGCTGCCGGTCGGCGGGAGAGCCGACGGGCGGTGGCTCTGTGCTCCAGGGTTCTCGCGCCGCGGCTCTGTGCTCCAGGGTTCTCGCGCGGCGCGGCTCTGTGCTCCAGGGTTCTCGCGCGGCGCGACTCTGTGCTCCAGGGTTCTCGCGCGGCGCGGCTCTGTGCTCCAGGGTTCTCGCGCCGCGGCTCTGTGCTCCAGTGGGTTCTCGCGCCCCGCGGCCGTCTCTGCACTGTCCACACGTGCCCAGTGCAACAAAACGTCGTGCACGATACTCAGCGGGCCAGCCCTGCAGACAGATCGATCAACTGAGCTGACATCTAGATCTGACTTCTCAGCACCTCTCAGAGCCATGCGAAACAGGCAGCCGTTTGTCGTCCTCGATTGGAGCGGCACTTGGCTGTATGCGAGTCCCCCGGCCGGCACCCGGGGTCGCAGTGCACAGTGCGCGGTCCGGCTGCTCTCCGTGTGGTCCTGCCTCTGGCCGAGTGGCGGGCTGACACGCGGCTCTGGTGTCGGTGTGACTGCGTCACGCTCAGCCGGGCTCGGTGCCGTGACGCGCGACAGCCGCCGTCACGGGGCTGGGACGGTTTGGTGACGCGGCTGCCGGTCGCTCAGCCACGATCGGCAGCCGCGGAGACCCTGGTTGGCTCCGTTGGCCGGACTGCTGACGTGCTCCCGTCCGTCGGCAGCCGCGGAGACCCTGGTTGGCTCCGTTGGCCGGACTGCTGACGTGCTCCCGTCCCCGCGGAGACCCTGGTTGGCTCCGTTGGCCGGACTGCTGACGTGCTCCCGTCCCCGCGGAGACCCTGGTTGGCTCCGTTGGCCGGACTGCTGACGTGCTCCCGTCCGTCGGCAGCCGCGGAGACCCTGGCTCCGTTGGCCGGACTGCTGACGTGCTCCCGTCCGTCGGCAGCCGCGGAGACCCTGGCTCCGTTGGCCGGACTGCTGACGTGCTCCCGTCCGTCGGCAGCCGCGGAGACCCTGGCTCCGTTGGCCGGACTGCTGACGTGCTCCCGTCCGTCAGCGTGGCTCGCCTACAAATCAAACTAGGACCGATCAGTCAGGCCGATGTGGCAGAAATCACTCAGCAGTCCAGTTATGGCGGCGGCGTGAGCTCCATCGGTGTTTGTTTCTTTTTTTTTCTTCTTCAATTTATTTCATAATTCACACGAGTCACGACAGCCATACACAAACACATGTACGTAACCGGCCACAGCACGTCGCACACTCGTGCCCCTCACGCGCTCCCGGCAGCACCAGCCAACTCTAACAGGTATCGCAGGGAACGAAAAAACGAAAAACGCCATGTATAATAGAAACAAAAAGAAGTAAAAAAATACAAGAAAAAAGGAGCGAAGGCACTGCCGGCGGAGCGGGCGGCAGCACCACCGGGCACCCCCACGACGAGCGGGCAGGAACGAGAAGCTACCGGGTGACAGTCGCAACGCCGCGCCAGCCGCCGGGCCCCAGCCGGAGGCCCACGACGACCGGGATGTCTCGCATGCACGTAGACTTGTGGGTAGGATGGGAGAAGGTTCCGGGAAGAACGTGCCGTTAGTTTTAGGGCCCTGCCTCTGAAACAATGTTCGCGACAGTGCCCCACTTCGACTCAAACCTCTGAAGAGAGTGCCGTTTTACAGCACTTTTATACTCTTTTTCGGCTTCCATTTTAAGCAATGAGTGAAATTGTTGTTTACTTGGAGTATGTTTTTTATGTCTTGCTCTGAATATTACTTGTTTTGCAATTGTTATTATCAATACTGCTGACGTGCTCTGCGGACTGCTGACGTGCTCCCGTCCGTCAGCGTAGCTCGCCTACAAATCAAACTAGGACCGATCAGTCAGGCCGATGTGGCAGAAATCACTCAGCAGTCCAGTTATGGCGGCGGCGTGAGCTCCATCGGTGTTTGTTTCCGATAGCACATACAGGGTGTGCGGAAATTATTTGCCCCTCCTCAGCTCGCTGCCATAGTTTTATTTACCGATTTATCCCCTGCCCTGTCTTACGCATTCCCTCATCCGCTTTGGCATTCCATCGATCAATATGTCCAGGGTATCCACGCTGATGTTCAGCCACACTTTTCACAGGTTCCTTTTAAGTCCGTTTTCTGTGGGAGCTGGTTCAATCTTGCTGAGCTTCACATCCATGATTCCTCAT